TTAGTTAGTTAGTTAGTTAGTAGTTAGTTAGTTAGTTAGTTAGTTAGTTAGTTAGTTAGTTAGTAGTTAGTTAGTTAGTTAGTTAGTTAGTAGTTAGTTAGTTAGTTAAGTTAGTTAGTTAGTTAGTTAGTTAGTTAGTTAGTTAAGTTAGTAGTTAGTTAGTAGTTAGTTAGTTAGTTAGTTAGTTAGTTAGTTAGTTAGTTAGTAGTTAGTTAGTTAGTTAGTTAGTTAGTTAGTTAGTTAGTTAGTAGTTAGTTAGTTAGTTAGTTAGTTAGTTAGTTAGTTAGTTAGTTAGTTAGTAGTTAGTTAGTTTGTGTTTGTTTGTTTGTTAGTTAATAATTATTATTAATTATTTAGTTTACAAATACAAGAGCAATATATACACACACAAACATGACATTAATGACATTAGAAAGTTCGCGCCGTCACGTAAAATCTTGAATGGATTGAAGACATCAAAGTTGAGAGTGCATACATAACGCAATTAGGGTGACATTATCTGATAAGGTAAATTTAAATAGTTCATCTTTTAGTGCCCATGGCAGTTATTAATACCGATCTCTATTCCCTACAGTTAATATCTAAACTGTGAGTAAATAAAAAATATTATATTAAATGGATTTGAATACAAAATTTATATTAACTTAATATAATCATTTGAGAGTGAAGTGCAATTATTATAATAGAAAATTTATGCAATTTTAAACAATCAATGAAAAATGTTATTGATTCATGCACAAAATCTAGCATTTATTCTTAACAAAATAGCTCAACAATGTTGTTTAAAACGATATTAATAATATTTCCCTTATAGTTTTGGACAATTCTCTTATGGTAAGTTTAATAATACTAAAAATTAAATTAAATAATAAAATTAATTTGCTTGCTTAAGGTTAACACCAGCACCTATAATTTCATAATAAACAATGTCTCCTGTTTGCCAATTGCAAATGGTGTTAAAAACTTTGAATGTATTGTAACCAAATTGGCCCCAAATAACTAGCCTTCACTGCAAACATTATATTCAGTAAATCTATGAATAAGAATTTATCATACGCTATTTAATCGATATCATACCAATTTCAATGAACAAATCTATACGTTTAATTGATGTAAAATTAAGCGCTTGTGATGTAATAAGAACCCGAATTATACCGCTGGTAGATAAATTGTTAACAGAAATTAGAAGAACGGTGAATTTGCCGCGTCAGTGTCCCTTTAAAGCGGTAATTATTTTTTTTATTTATTTGTAACTAGAATATTCTAAACTTTTTGTTTCTTTTGCTTTTTAAATAGAACTTTTCGTATTATTGCAAAAATTTCACTCTGAACGATCAATTTTGGAATAAATTTATGCCTTATGTTCATTTTGCTCAAAGTGTGGATTTATATGATTCGAATATGATAATTGCCAGTGCAGCAATTAACGGCAGTCTTTTGCCTAGAACAATATCGAAAAGAAATTTGTAAACGATTTATCTATATACAGAAAAATATGTGAAATTAATATATTTTGTAAATTCTGGGAAAATTATTTAAGAATTAGAAAAAAATTCATTTTATAATAGGTAGTCTGAAATTTTACTTATAACTTTATAAGTTGAGAACCGATTTTGCTTATTTTCACTACCAAACAGTTTAGGAAAATAGTAAATATTTCCTTTGAATTTGGTAGAGCGTGTTTTTTGCTCGCAGACAGACGGACCCAGAATATATTATATTTTTTTTTGATCTTAGATGTATATTTTTTGATGTTACACACGGAATTACAATATTATATATGATGCCTATCACGACTGATGGTGGTAGAGGTTATAAAAATACGAACTGTGGTTGTTTACTTGTAGAGTATTCAAAATACTCAAGCCCCTGTTTGATCTGAACTGTTTCTGGTAAAAGGCGGTGGTTGATGTTTCTAATCATTGTTCTTAGAAGATATTACAATAGGTCAAATGGCCTGCCTATATTTCGATATCTCTAATTTTTCGGTGAAATTAGCAATTCGAAGTTTTGGTTAGTAGAGTTTTGATATATTTATACCATAAATCTCTATAGTGGGAAGGTTAATATGCGTTTGTGCTGATGTTTGTAAAATCCAAAAATATTTATCCTACAACCACATTTTATTCTGATATTCTGATTAAGCTATGTCTGTCCGTCTGGCCGTCTGTGTGTCCATGTAAACCTTTTGCGCACGCTATAGGTCACAATTAAAACATGAATCCACCAAATAAGCCGAGGACTTTGTTCTTACTTACAGCGAAAACACTGTGGTAAAACTGGTATGAAATCTGAATATACCTGGATAAGGAAGGAAGATTCATTGGTATCACTTCTATAAGATATCTTTCATCCATCACCATTCAACCCAGCATACTTGACATTCATCAGACACCCTCATACAGAACAACATCCGACACTCTCATTAAGGTATATGGGCGGGTAAGATCCGTATACCCCTACATTCATTCTGTATCATATACACCAACTCATTTCCAAATCTTAGTCCCACAGTCACTCCTCTGGGGGTCCCCCCGGGGCATGTTTCCATGATGAAATGTTCCATCATGGTGTATTGCAATCCCGGGGTAAAGAAGTGCTACCAGTACCTCTAGTCTGCCGGGACTATAAACTAGTGATGTCATTTCACTCCTCGGCTAGTCCTTGGTATGATTTGACATGGGGTCTAACCAGAGATCCAGTTGCCCGCAGACTATGTCCTGACTGGTCAGTTGGTTGAGGTTCCTTCAGGATCCACGTAGTGGCTGTGGTTTAAGCTCAAATTCGCGGGGAGAGCAAGAGGCGTTTAAAGGACTGATGTAAGGTAAAGTCAATATTTCGGCTGTTGCCGAAACAACAGATACCCACAGAGGAGTGACTGTGGGACTAAGCGTTGGAAATGAGTTGGTGTTAATTTGTATATGATTGGGGTTACCTGAGAATAAGTGTGTTGTATGTTTTTCTCTTATGAATGTGTCGGATGAATGAGAAGTGTGCTGGGTTGAATGATGATGGATATACACGTGATACCATTGAAATTTCCTTCCTAGTCCAAATATGTTTCAGAGTAAACTCTGTTCATATCCGAATTACCACAGTGTGTCACTGTGATTAAGCACAAACTTTCAAATCAATAGAGGCCATCCCATCTGCGTGGTTGTAAACGGAAGTGATGCTTTACATCCCGATTTCTTCATTGAAGATTGAAGGGGCGATGGTAGACCCTTCTCAAGGCTACCCAGTGGATGAAAAAGACCATCGTGAGATAGGCCAAGACGGCAGGTACTCACGTAAAGCACTTCGACATTCCTATGTGGGGTAGCTGTTGACTTCGACAACAGCACCGTAGTTATACCGAATTATAGATTTCATAGTGCATCAGTATTTAACCGACATTCTTTTCCCGGGAATTTGGTTTTAAACCGCAGACACTACGTGGATCCGGAAGGAAACTCAACCAACTGACCAGCCAAGAGAAAGTCCTGCGGGTAACTGGCCACCCGTAGTACCAGACTATGTGGTTCTCTGATTTGACCCCCATCTCAAATCAGTCTAATGAAAGGTCGAGGATACATTTGATCATCACCAGATTATAGTCCCGACATACTAGAGATATTGGTGGTACCCTCTTTTCCCCGGATTTCAATCACCCAAGATGGGGGTCTTTCATCAAGGCAACATGCCTCCGAGGGCCGTGAGAAGGGTATAGACATATAAGTTCGTTATTCCGTTTGTAATTTCTACAATATAATTTTTCCGCGTCTATAAGGAATATACATATATTCTGAATCCTTATGGATAGTGTCGTCGATTAAGCCATTTCTCTTTTTCTTTCTGTCTGTCCGTCATTCCGTCTGCCTGTCTTTCCATATGTCCGTCTGTCCTGTCCTTCTCTTCCGTCCGTCCTTCTGTCTGTTGAAATTAATTTTCTGAAAACTCCAGATATCTTCACGATCCAAATCTTCAATAATTCTGTCAGACATACTTTCAGAAAGTTTCCTAATTAAAATCAGCAAAATCTGTCCTTAAATAATGGAGATATGAGCCAAAATCGGAGACAACCTCTGCAAATTTCATAAAAAAGACTAACATTGCTTATCGGAAAAATACGTATGTTTGGATGTGTGTTGGTTTCATTGCTTTGTGTATTTTATTTTTGTGTGTTTGGTTTCGTTTAGCTTTCTTGTTGTTGTTGGTGGTTTTGTTTTGCTATTGCTCGACTAATGGTAGAGTGGGAAAAAATGAGATAAAGTTAAATTTTATAAAATTGATCTTTCTTTCAACACACTATGGTGAAGGGTATATAAGATTCGTTAAAAGCGAACTTGTTGTATAACAATATTAAATTAATTTAAGGCTGAATAACTAAATTAATTGTTTGTGATAATCAATATTCAATTAAATAAACCAAAGACTGATATAATTAATTATTAATTATATGTATATTGCTAAGCATTTTTATATCGGAATGAGGTCATTTGTGTTCTGTTCTGAAATCAGTTTGACAAGGTCATATTACAGTGGTACGGTCTTTGGGTTCTAAATAGTAAAATTTGTAATAATTTTAAAACAATTTGTTAAAATTATGGGAAATTAGTAATTGTTAAGCGAATTAAGTATCTAGTGTTATCAGAACAAAACTTTTTGAGTGCAAAAAGTTCTGTTAAAATATTGGCCTTACTGTATGAAAATTTGATTTCAAAAACGTATTTTTTAACTTATTAAATACGTTTTTTTGCAATATTTAATAAGCGATTCAAAATAATCGTTTAATTATTTATTTACTTAGTACATTTTAAATTTAAGCTGAATTGTGACTGTTTAAAAAAACAATTCTTTGCAAATATTTGCACAAAATATACGAAACAATAAATTGGAAAATGTTAACGAAATTGCTGTTCGTAATTTGTCTATTGTGGGTTCTAAAAAGCTCCAATCAGGTTCGTAGAAAACTAAATATTTGAAAATATATATATTAAAATTTTCTCTTTACTTCACAGATTTCCTCAAGACGTTACAATTTCGTTATTAATAATGTTACCCTGCAAGAAATTCACTAATAGTCTAGAGCTTTTAGAGTGTCAAGTGAAAAAATTGGCCATAAATGAATATGGTCTATCGGGCAAATTTATATTTACTAAAACTATGTCAAAGAATTTTTTCGTAAGATTTTTTATTGATACCACAACATTCTCCAAAAAGAAGTTAGTACGTTTTATTGATATAAAAATGAATGGATGTGATGCATTACGTACTAAATTCGATGTACCCTTGGTACAGCAAATTGTTTTGGAAATCAGAAGAACTAGTAATATTCCCTTTCAATGTCCATTGGAAGCGGTATGTTAAAATGTTTATTTTTTTCTTATAGAAAAACTAAATAATTTCCTTTCCTTTTTCTTACAGAATATCCCCTATACATTTGAAAATTTGACTATTAGCGATAAATTTTTGAATAAATTTTTACCGAATTTGAATTTTGTTCAAGAAATAGATTTCTATGAAAAGGATACAATTATTGGTAGCATAAAAACCATTGGTAGCATTTTGGCAAAGAAATAAGACACTAGCAAATGTATTTATGTATTTGTAATATTCTACTTAAAAGGATTTCAAGTTTCTTTAATCAATAAAGTTTTAAAACTAACAAAACCCAGTAAAAACTTTCATTGAAAAGTTATAAGTTAAAAAGCTCATATAACTAATACATTGTTAATGTAGCTCTTTACTTTAACACAACGACATCATTGCAGGCAAGTCTTTAGCGCAAACGCTTAGAAATAATTAGTTATTTCAATAGTTATTGTAGATAAGAGCTTACTGAGCATGCTTACAAGTAAGGTGTTTAATAAGTCCTTATCATGTACGCTAACAAATAAGTAGTTATTGCAGATGTCATTGCAGACAAGTACTTACTGAACACAATTACAAGTAAGTTGTTATATAAGTCATTAGCACGCATGCTAACAAATAAGTAGTTATTGTAGTAGTTATTGCAGATGTTACTGCAGAGAAGTACTTACTAAGTATGCTTACAAATTGGGTGTCAAATAAGTCATTAGCATGTTCGCTATTAAATAAGTAGTTACTTAAGCTGCTTAGTTTAAGTTAAGTCCAAATACTATCTTCGTATTAAATATCTATGTATATCTTACTAATAATACAGTTCAGAACAAGTCTAATACAAGACTTACAAGACGTACAAGAAGAAGAAAAGTATCCACCCGATATGCTTTTATGGAGGATACATAACATTATTAGTATTGAAGCATCTTGAAAAGACTCTGAGCAAAATGTACAATGTCAAAAACTTCTTATTCAAAACCCATCCTCAGCCTGAATCAATGGTGATATGGGCAGGAGAGGAGAGGATGTAGAGGGGACTATTGAACTCCTAATATACCAACTTTCTACCATCTGTTAAGATTAGTTCCATGGAGAAACCAATACGGGGAGACTCACCTAAACAAACCGCAGAAAATCAGCTGAAGCAACCCAAGCTGGTGGACTGCGAATAAACAGCTATCTAACTAATGACCTACATGTTATGTTAAACATCACAGCAGTTGAAAACCCTTCGCTAGAACGTTAGCAAATTCTCTTTTTTTAGAGCACTATGCATCAAGCATCTTAAAACTAATTATTAGGGCCAATACCCTATTAGCTCAGTTGAAGTGCCTGATTCTCCAGCAATTTCAGTTGTAGCCACCCAAGACGTATCTGCAGGAATTAAAACCCACAGCCGAAGAATAAACCCCAGAAATGATTCGAGACACCACAGCAGCTGTGAAACCCTTCACTGGTACATGGCTAATGAAAATCCTACAAGTACTAAAGCCTTTCGTTTCAAGGCGGCACGGCCTTGACGAGCATCTTAAAACTAAGCCGGACAATGAGCAATCGACTGAAATACCCAATTAGCTTAGCTGGAGTGCCTGATCCTCCTGCAATCTTAGATGTAGCCATCCAAGATGCATTTGCAGTATCTAAACGTAAGCGTTCGGAGGAAGAGAAACTTCTCCAAATGCATACCTCACAGCCGAAGAATAAACGTCAGAAGGAATTCGAGACTGGTATAGTCAACAGGATCTACCGCAAAGTCGCAAAAAAAATCGTTGGTCAGGGTAATTATTGAAAAGAGCTTAAGTGACGTATCCATCTCAGAGGACAAATGGGTTATAATCTGAAAAAAAATGTTGGAGGTGTATTGCAACATTCTCAATGAGAATCCCGGTCTATCTCCGCAAAACGTATACGAACGATCGCTAAAACTAGCGAAGGCGTCTCTAAGGGAAGTGTGGCCCGGTGCGATACTCATTGTGATCCCAGTTAATGAGATAATTCATAGACCGAGATCAATCGTGATCATTTCGGCGAAACTACATGGCATTTCATGATCATCCTACACATAAGTGGAGGGTGGTCAAGGTTTCCGACCCTGTAGGCGCAGAAAGTTACGTTGAAGTTACTCCGAGAGAGGTAAGGCAAAGTATACTATGGTATTGATAGTATCAAGCGTCTACCAGGGTACCGAATAGCTTGCAGAGTGGAAAAGTAGACTATACTGCTAACCCAAATGCATACTCAATCAAGCACAAAACTGTTTGGTGATCTGCTTAACAGTCAGAGTGCAGTGGAGAACAAGTCGTCTATGACTCGGACCATGGCCATTCAAGGAAGGGATCTAGCATTGATCCAAGAATCGTGAACCCATAATGGCTACAGATAAAGTGATGAAGATGCAAGAACTGCAGCAAGGGTGACAGAGGCATCCACAATGTGGATCCTCTCCAGCTACATAGTGCACAACCAGACAGACCCTCCGCCAAACTAAATGGTCTTGCGAGCAATCGGGCAGGCAAGGACATTAGTACCCCTGTGATTGTTGTTGCAAATTTCAATCATACGATATGGAGTAGAACTAACATCAATATATCTTTCTCTTCTCTTTTTGATTTCTATGAATCGAATAAACTGATTGCAAGTTTAAAGACCACAGGTAGTCTTCTGCCAAAATCTAAAATTAATAAAAATAAAATTAGTTAATGATTAAAGTAAAGAATAAACAAAAGTTACGGAGAAAAATGTTCTAAAAAATCAATTTCATTGATTGTACCCTACACCATTATAGTGGATATTAAGCTTTTGTGCTGATGTTTGTAACGCCCAAAAATATTAGTCCTACATCCACCTTAAAGTATAACAATTGGCTCGGAATAATTTTCGGAGTCGATTAAGCCATGTCCGTCTGTACGTCCGTCCGTCTGTCTGTCTGTCGGTCTGTCGGTCTGTCGGTCTGTCTGTCTGTCTATCTGTCTATCTGTCTGTCTGTCTGTCCGTCTGTCTGTCTGTCTGCCTGTGTGTTCATTGCAGGTCGCAATGAAAATTTGTCGCATACTCTTTTTTCGACTCAAGGACGAAGCCTATACAATATTTTTTCCCAGCCCCCACATAACCGTATCCCCCGAAAAGGACTTTTGAGCTCATAATTATGTTAAATGTTCTAGTATCTCTACAAAAGGCAGCCTAACGTGGTTTTATATACATCCTAATAATACTCTCAATTTTCGTAATGATCGGTCCATATTTGACCATCCATATTTGGCAAATTTTGCAAAATTTTCCAGAAATTAAAATCAAAAATTATTTTAAATGTTGCCCTGACGGCCCACTGTGCTCAGAAGGATAGTAAGTCTTTTAGCCAATTTAAAGAGCAATAACATCCTTATCATCTACCCAAATTTTAAAACATTATCTTCAGTAGTATTCAGGAATTAAGTTTTTATTTACTTTAAAGCACCTGTACGTATGATTAATATTATTTTTGGTAATTTTTATAAAAATCTTTATAAAATAAATATTTAAAAGAGAAATTGTTTAAAAATTAAACTGTTATTAAAAACCAATAATCCAAAGACCTAAGAAAAGCTACGAGACTCAATTATTTCAAAGATTTAAAAAAAAATCGAAGAATTTTTCCAGAATTTAAAAATCTAAAATTATTTTAAATTTAAATTTTTAGGCCCACTGTGCTCAGAAGCATAGCCAGCCCTTAAGACAATTTAAGGATACATGTTGTTTTGCAACTATCCAAGTTTCGAAGCATTATCATTAGTAGTATTAAGGAATTAAGTTGTTCTTTGCTTTGAAACCCCTGTACGTATGATTAATATTAATTTTGGTAATTTTTATAAAATCGATATTTAAAAGAGCAATTGTTTAAAAATTAAACTGTTATTGAAAACCAATACTCTAAAGACCTAAGAAAGGCTACGAGACTCCATTATTTCAAAAATCTAAAATTATTTTAAATTTAAATTTTTTGGCCCACTGTGCTCAGAAGCATAGCAAGCCCTTAAGACAATTTAAGGACACATGTTATTTTGCAACTATCCAAGTTTCGAAGCATTGCCATCAATTGCATAAAAGAATTATTAAGTTGTTCTTTGAAACCCCTATACGTATGATTAATATTATTTTTGTAAATTTTTATAAAAATCTTTATAAAATCGATATTTAAAAGAGCAATTGTTTAAAAATTAAATTCTTATTGAAAACCATTAATCTAAAGACCTAAGAAAAGCTACGAGACTACATTATTTCACTGATTTTAAAAGAAAATTTCCAGAATTTAAAAATCTAAAATTATTTTAAATTTAAATTTTTAGGCCCACTGTGCTCAGAATCAAAGCAAGATCTTAAGACAATTTAGGGACACATGTTGTTTTGCATCTATCCAAGTTTCAAAGCATTGCCATCAATTGCATAAAAGAATTATTAAGTTGTTCTTTGAAACCCCTGTACGTATGATTAATATTATTTTTGTAAATTTTTATAAAAATCTTTATAAAATCGGTATTTAACCAGGGATTTTTAAAAAATTAACTCTTATTGAAAAGCAAAAATCTAAAAACATAAGAAAAGTTACGAGACTCCATTATTTCACTGATTTTAAAAGAAATTTGAAGAAATTTTCCAGAATTTAAAAATCTAAAATTATTTTAAATTTAAATTTTTAGTCCCACTGTGCTCAGAACGATAGATAGCCTTTAAGACAATTTAAGGACACATGTTGTTTTGCTACTATCCAAGTTTCGAAGCATTACCATCAGTAGTATAAAAGAATTAAGTTGCTTTTTGCTTTGAAACCCCCTGTACGTATGATTGATATTAATATTGGTAATTTTTATAAAATCGATATTTAAAAGAGCAATTGTTTAAAAATTAAACTGTTATTGAAAACCAATAATCTAAAGACCTAAGAAAAGCTACGAGACTCCATTATTACACTAATTTTAAAAGAAATTTAAAGAAATTTTCCAGAATTTAAAAATCTAAAATTATGTAAAATTTTTGCTATTAGGCCCACTGTGCTCAGAAGCATAGCAAGTTCTTAAGACAATTTAGGACATATGTTGTTTTTCATCCATCCAAGTTTTATAGCATTATCATCAGTAGTATTAAAGAGTTAAGTTGTTCTTTGCTTTGAAACTCCTGTACGTATGATTAATATTAATTTTGGTAATTTTTATAAAATCGATATTTAAACAAGGATTTTTAAA